CCCAAAGTTATGTTCTCTAACCCTAGTGGCTCTTTTCCATACACATTCAATTATGCAAATTGTTCACATAACATACAACACATAACATTTAGTATTTAAAGCACATAACATATAATGCACAATGGATGCAATGGTCTAAATTCATGCCTCGCAAGCCTTAAGTAAATCAAGGACCAATGCTTTGATACCAAGTTGTGACGCCTCTAAAACTGGGGGTCCTTTAACAACTATTAATCACTCATCAACCCGTAAAAATACCCGTGATTATCGCATAACCCAATATCACGCCAAGAGCATCCCCTTAATCGAGATCACAACCCACACGGATAACCTTTATACACTCTATCATTTACCAATTTGTGGTCATTTATACATCAATTTATAGTCATTAATATCTCATATAACCTCTATGAGCACAAGGAATTAATGCCCGAAGGCTTAGTAAAACATTTGAAAATTTTAAAGTTTAAAGAAAATCTATCGGTAGAAGTGTTCAGAGTTCTACCAGTAGAAGTTGTACACTGGACTTTAGTTTTTAAGAATTTTGAGAAAACCTACCAGTAGAAGTTGTTCTTGTTCTACCAGCAGAAGAGACCTTCTGGAATTCTTATACCGGTAGGAAACTTGACGTTCTACCGATAGGAGAACCCTACTGGAAATGTTCTACCAGCTAGAAATGACGATTTACTTGTAGAACCTGACTACTGGACTGCATCTATTGGTAGAAAAGCTAAAAATTCTACCGGTAGGTGTGCCCAATTTTGCCCATTTCAACCGTTTTCAATCCTGATCCATTCCAACATTGTGCTACACCAACCCAAACTCACATAACATTAAGTTTTTACATAAAACATGGTATATATGAGTTCAATTACAATCTACTTCATACAATTACATGCCAAAAACTTCATTTTTATAATAGTTTTACATAAACATGGGATAAAGCCACATTCGACTTTTCTTCATCCTTGAGGGCCCGAATGAGAGTTGTCCACTAGTGTATACTCCGGACTTGAAATGTTATCCCATAAAGAGTGAGTCATGCTTAATAGGGTATCTCCTAAAGAGACTACTCTCATGCAATATGCAAATGAAATGTTCACATGTACAATTCAACCAGCAACAACATTCCAATCAAGAATATGCAATTGAATGTTAGAAATCACCATGTCATACCATGATATGAGATGATATTTACTCATGCACTTCAACCTAAACCTTCATCGACTCCCTCAACACATGCAAATGTCATGTGTGTTACTTCGGACATTTCAAGCCCCTTGCCATTGATGTTACACATCCAATGACCATTAAATTCCCGGATCTTTTTTGGGGTTGGTATTTACGGACTTCCACCAATGATCATCCAACCGACACAACATCTATGAACTTCCACCAACAGTTTCGCATATGCCGACACACTTTATAAACTCAATACCAACAGAGTGTGTATTCGAAGTCACTGAGTCTTGCACTCGAGAGATAGTTTAGCCCCTCATGCTAACTCAATTTTCAATGCAATCTATGCGACTCAATCAAACCTTGATCCAACTGTACCGAGTTCACGCATAATTCACCAAGAGTGGCGTTTGATGACAACCATGCACACACACACGCACTCACACTCATGTCTAATGCCCATAAATGCGATGTCTCCGTGCATATGCAATATAATGTACAATTGCAATACTAATATCATGTTTAATATTTGATGAGCTCCATATGAACTAATTCAATCAGTTTACAACATTTTCCATGGTCAATTATATCATGAGCATATAATCATCATATATCATCTTAATGTCAATACATCATCAAGCATATATAAACATTTATTCCCAACAACAATTTCTTAGCATGTTATAATATAATCTTACGCAATTAACATACTTAATTCACATAGGGATAATATAAACACATAACATGCCCATATAACACAATTTTTCAAGAAATTTCGAGCTACCAATTTCTAAGTATCAATTTATGTTAGAATTAATTTTACTCATTCTCAATACTCATTTCATCAATTTAATAACAATAGGTAAGTGCTATACATGAGATTTCAACTCTAACACTCTATCAATTCCATATAACAATCTTAGGTTGAAAATAAACCTACTTAGGAAAAAAAACTCTATCTCTTGAAGCGTAAAACAACAGTAAGAAGCTCCAAGAACCCAAAATAAGCTCTAATCCAGGCTTTCTCCAAAACTCTGTCCTTGAAATTTTATCCAAATCTAATATTCTTAATATGGTTTAATAGCTCTCGACGAGAATAACAACTTTCGTTCTTGGCTTGAGTCGATTCGAACAATGTAAAGACGTATATTGTAGAGAGAATGTGAAACTTCCCTCTCTTCTTTTGATTTTTCGAATAATCTAATGGATATAGTGAGAAATCTGATTTTTTTTCCTATTTATATATTTTAAATGTTTGGTCCTCATTTTGCCACACATTCTTCTTTCTCGGGTCCGATTTTGACTTGAATTGATTAAANTTAAATGTTTGGTCCTCATTTTGCCACACATTCTTCTTTCTCGGGTCCGATTTTGACTTGAATCGATTAAATATTGTCTTTAGTTCAAGTTCAAAATATTTTTATTTGAACTAAATTTAAATTATTATCTAATTTTTAAAATTTAATTTTCAGGTTTGTTTATGAGATCACACGACACCCGATCGCCTCCTAAAACGTAAAAAATTCAAATGTCTCAGAATTTGACAAAAATCTACAAGGTGGCTAGATTTTGCGAGATGAATCTAACGGTGAGATCTGTTTCATAATCCGAGTTCTAGAAAAATTTACATTTTCAACCTGCACTGTAACGACAACTAATCGTTTTGCCTTTATCATAAAAGTTTCAAAATTACCCGAGTTTTACATTCTTCCTCCTTTAAAAGAATTTTGTCCTCGAAATTCATACACACATATACATTCAACCACATGCTATGAAACATTTATATAATACTAAATAACTATAAGTATGTACCTCCATCTTCAAACAAAAACAAATAAATGGTATGTATAGCGTCCTCATGCTCCCATGTCACCTCTTTCACACCTTGATGCTACCATAACACCTTTACCAGCCTCTCGGTCTTGCCTTGCAAAACCTGCTCTTGGCTATCCATAATATGCACCGGTCCCTCTTTGAAGGTCTCATTTGCATCAACAATTAGCTCGCCCAAATCCACCACATATGTCAAATATGGGATATACTTCTGGAGCATGAAGACATGGAATACCGCATGAACACCTGAAAAATTTGGCGATAACCCCAACCGGTAAGCAACTGTACTAACCCTCTAGAGTACCTCAAATAACCCGATAAACCTCGACAAAAGCTTTCCTCGCTTTCCAAACCTACCCACTCCCCTCTTATGCATTACCTTCAAGAAGACATGATCCCCCCTAGGGCGGGAGACGCTTTAGGACTACCTACCAGGTAAGCCAGATGACTTGCTATATATGCCACCAGCCGGGTCACATGAAGAAGAATTGTCTTCAGAGGTAGGAATTCTAGAGGAATGGGACATCCCAATCCCAGGCATCGGTGGGGCATACCCAGACTTATTTCATTCATTTCTACCCCACCATGGGGGTCCGAATTTGATTGGGGACACCTCGAAAAGATAGACTTGATACAAAAGCATCTTCTCACGACTCAGCGCCGGGTATTAGACATTTAACGCACGAGTTAGATAGAACCCCATAACACACGCATCACCCTTGTTGGCCTAGCAGTTTCAGGAAGGCTGAAAAAGAAATCAACCTTTAATGGGTCACTCAGCAATTTTGTATGCCACATCAAACCTATCTTCGATCCTAAAATAGTCAATCTTTTCCAATTCACTATAAATCATATGATGTGCATCTGCATCATCTTTTTTATAACCACTCTGTGTGCAATTTGATCTAATATTTTACCCCAGTCAGTTGCATATTCTGATAGGACTCGGGTAATGTCGCCTAGTCCTTGTGCCAGTGCCTCAATGGATGAAATTGCCTTCGTATTTCTCCATTTTCGTGATTGCGGAGTCTCTACAGTTTCCTCTGGCGCTTGTGTTACACTGTGTAAGCCTCCAATTTCTTCCACATGAGTATTGAATTCGACCCCGTTGTCAGTCTCATGGACATAGGCATCAGCATTCCCCACCATGTCCTCCAAATCAATAACAAACTCCCCAGTTGCCTGATCCCTGCCAAATACAAATCATCACAAAAGCTTTGTCATATTATATGTTATATTTAGATGTTGTGTACCAATTGATCTATCATTTTATTAATGTTCAACCAATGTAATATCACCATATGTACCTTTGAGTATTCAGTCAAAATATCTTCACTGTCGACCAANTTAATCTCTGCCAAATACAAATCATCACAAAAGCTTTGTCATATTATATGTTATATTTAGATGTTGTGTACCAATTGATCTATCATTTTATTAATGTTCAACCAATGTAATATCACCATATGTACCTTTAAGTATTCAGTCAAAATATCTTCATTATCGACCAAGATTTTATTGTCCCTTTCACTGAAGCCAAATCCACAAGTTGTCAACATCGATAGAATCGTATTGTAATGCTTCTTTCATATTTTTATCTTTGACTCGATGTGGGGGTAGGCTCGTAAATCAGTTCCTCCCAAAGCTTCATTGATAGCCTTTTCTAGTACCTGGAGGTAACTTGGCTTGAATGTGTCATTTAGGACACTTCCACCCCTGGTTGCATATCTCCTTCAGTGCGTGGAGAAGTTGGTCCTCCTTGGCAGTCGTCCATATCCTTTATGTAGCCTTTTCAGATTGGCCTCCCACCCTTACTTATGAGCTCCCTGCCCTTGCCATCCCTATAACAAACTCAAAATTGGATTACACATTTGTAACATATAAATCTTCTAATTCATGACTTATTATATGTTGCAAAAAACACTACAAAAAGTGCTTGAATACTTAAGCACATGTGATAACATACATGAGCACCAGTCAAAGATACATAATTAAACAACATATATTGAAAAAGTTTGTTCGCTGTGCTCATATTCAAGTAAAATTTAACATTCAAGGCATATTAGTGAATTCCTCTACTCATGCGCCACTCATTGTACATCTCAATGGCCAATTGTTGTCTCTAGTTGGTCCATACCGTTGACATCTCAGCGGTGTCAATTATGTGTTGGTTGTCCATCTCAACATTTTTCTCCTCGGGAAATTCATCTTTTTATAGGGTCATATTTCATTTCATTCCTACACAAATTGTGTAGAAGACAACAAACTGGAATGATGCCATTATGGGTTGTTACAGGATAGTAACATCGGGTTGTTACAGTAATCCAAAACATCTCTCTATGACATTCCTAGCAGATGCATGCTTGAAGTTGAAAATTTCCGTAGCATTCCAAGGCCCAAGTGCTCCATTAAACTCTTTTATATGATATCGATGTCCTCTAAAAGGCGCTAGAAATCCTTCTCCATTAGTGTAACCAGCATCCACAATGTAGTATGTGCTTGTTTATACCAAAAAACAATTTAACATGAGAAACTGTATCACTTATATTTATCATAAACACTCATTTTAAGTTTTAGGATGCATTTATTGTTTTGCTTACCATGCTCAACCTTTAACCCATTCCTCCTCGTCACTACATCACTTAGCACCCTTGATTCTATAGCATTCTCCTCCCATCCTGGCAAGACATTTATGAATCTCATGTCCTGGGAACATAAACCTAATACATTTGTTGCAACCCAACCTTTTTGTGTCCTATATCTTGCTTGGTGAATAAGTGGCACCCTTGCCCGAATGTAGTTGCCATCTAAGGCCCCCACNCCTTTTTGTGTCCTATATCTTGCTTGGTGAATAAGTGGCACCCTTGCCCGAATGTAGTTGCCATCTAAGGCCCCCACGCAATTCTAAATAGTGGAATTTGGAAACAATTAATTAGCTTGGAAATAAGAGGAGGCATGTGTACATTTGAATGTTCATAAATATTTGAAAAGAAACATAGTTTAGAATGGTTATAATGTTACCTTAACCCAGTTCCACCTATGATCTGTACTGTCCTGCGTAACTAGTTCGGGTGATATAAGCAATAATCATCTTAGTTTGGAGACTGATTTGAGCATTGCATTGAAATACCCACTCACTGTCTATCTAGACCTAAGAAAATTGAATTTCACTGGTCTATTCTTCTCATCGTGACATATAATACTTAAGAACATTGTCACTATCTCCTCAACACTGACATCCTAGTAGCTTTAGGACCACCAACATCACAGACAAGATTGCACAACATGTTAAATATTTGCCTATCCATTTGAAAATGGTTTATGCAACTAGTATCACTTTCCCTAATTAGACGATTGAGATATGATATTTGTAGTCATGACCTAGTCACACACTTGGGCATTGGCCTATCCCCAGAACACATATTTTTTTCCACAAAATGCACAACAAATAGAGAATTAGTGAGAAGATATTACACATTTCCCACTTTGCCTTACCCAAGCATAGAATCAAAGTAACTAACTGTTCATCATGATTGGCCATCCCGACTATAATTCACAATGGTTAGTACCCATTCAAGTTAATGCTTATTGGAGATACTATGAAATTTGTTCATGCAATGTTACCAAATCATTCATGAAGAACACCCAAAAATTGGCCTTAAAGAAATAGTCCTAAATAGAATATGGTTATACAAGCATAAAAAAAAAAAACAGAATAGATTGTGCTCATATTGATAAATCTTCTCAAGAACACTAACGAAGCATGTTCCAGGGTGGCAGAATTNAGAATAGATTGTGCTCATATTGATAAATCTTCTCAAGAACACTAACGAAGCATGTTCCAGGGTGGCAGAATTCTTAAACAAACCTTTCATAGGAATACGTAGTAAAAGATCAGAAATTAGGTCAGACCATGTGCAAANTTCTTAAACAAACCTTTCATAGGAATACGTAGTAAAAGATCAGAAATTAGGTCAGACTATGTGCAAAAAAAAAAATGGATGTTGTTCAAACCCATTAACTACGAAATGTAAAATGGATGATTATCTCTATATAAACACTTGTGTTGGCTACAATCAAAGGAGTTCATCATTATATTCAGATTTTTTCAATACTTAATGAAGCATACCTTTGTTGATACTTGACAATGGATTACACGGCAACAACCTTGCGCAAGTGGAAGATGATCACACTTCATCTCAAAAAGCAGCAACTTTGTCGCAGAAGAACTCCTGGAAAGAGGGTTTTCTGGCTTTGTGATACGTTTGGGAGGTGAGTGGTGTTTATATAGAAGATGACTTCAGATAAGATCTTCGGGGTACAAGNTAATGAAGCATACCTTTGTTGATACTTGACAATGGATTACACGGCAACAACCTTGCGCAAGTGGAAGATGATCACACTTCATCTCAAAAAGCAGCAACTTTGTCGCAGAAGAACTCCTGGAAAGAGGGTGTGAGTGGTGTTTATATAGAAGATGACTTCAGATAAGATCTTCGGGGTACAACAGTAATTTAGTCAATTGTACTGTCGGCGCATCGATCACTGCATTTTAAACCAACCATTGAGATAGATTTTCATAATACGGATAAGAGGCTGTTATTTTGAGAGTCTCTTGAAAGTCGATACATTTNATTTTAAACCAACCATTGAGATAGATTTTCATAATACGGATAAGAGGCTGTTATTTTTGGAGTCTCTTGAAAGTCGATACGTTANGGCTGTTATTTTGAGAGTCTCTTGAAAGTCGATACATTTAATTAAATATAATTGTAATAAACTAAACAAAAAAAATGTATCGTAAAAAAAGTGTACAATTAAGATACAAAAACTTAATTATTTATTTTTTAAAATTTATTTTTCTAAAAATAATTTGAAGAATATATTTTAAAATTAATTAGGTACATGGTGATAAGACTTAACCGTTGGATTTTAGGAATATTATTTTCCTAAAAACGATTTTAGGAATATATTTTAAAATTAATTAGGTACACAGTGATAAGAATTAATCGCTGAATTTTAAGAACATTAATTTGATCGCGAAAAGCTTTATTTTTGTAAAACAATTATCGTTTCTTCTTCTTATCCAAAAACGGTTTCATCTTCCTCGGCAAGAAACCCTAAAACGTTTCCTGAACATTTATAGAATTTCATCTTTGAAAGGAAAAATCCTATTGATCCGTCATTGTAGATGTAAATTCATCAACAACATCTACTGCCCTATTAATTCATTGTATGTATCTCTTAACTGTTGACTGTGTTTCCCGCATAATGTAACAAAAAAATTGTAACACTACAACACAAATAGTGTTTAGTGATTTTATAGATGTAGTTACAAATTCAAAATAGAGTTGGACTGTTANTAAATTAAATATAATTGTAATAAACTAAACAAAAAAAATGTATCGTAAAAAAAGTGTACTATTAAGATACAAAAACTTAATTATCCATTTTTTAAAATTTATTTTTCTAAAAATAATTTCAAGAATATATTTTAAAATTAATTAGGTACATGGTGATAAGACTTAATCGTTGGATTTTAGGAATATTATTTTCTTAAAAACGATTTTAGAAATATATCTTAAAATTAATTAGGTACACAGTGATAAAAATTAATCGCTGAATTTTAAGAACATTAATTTGATCGCGAAAAGCTTTATTTTTGTAAAACAATTATCGTTTCTTCTTATCCAAAAACGGTTTCATCTTACTCGGCAAGAAACCCTAAAACGTTTCCTGAACATTTATAGGATTTCATCTTTGAAAGGAAAAATCCTATTGATCCGCCATTGTAGATGTAAATTCATCAACAACATCTACTGTCATATTAATTCATTGTGTGTATCTCTTAACTGTTGACTGTGTTTCCCGCATAATGTAACAAAAAAATTGTAACACTATAACACAAATAGTGTTTAGTGATTTTATAGATGTAGTTACAAATTCAAAATAGAGTTGGACTGTTACAATAAAATTATATGTAAATATATTTTTGACAAAATGTAATAGTATAGTGTTTTGTGTCAGTAAACTTTTACACTGTTATTGTTATACGGTATACACATATACATGATGAACTTCGGTTATGGTGTTCACATATAAAAAAACAGTATAATCACATTTAAAAAGACAGACATAAACCTAACGAAGTTATGAATTCAAATCTTGTAACTGCTTAGATTGAATTATACGAATGAAATAATGTTTCGGACTTGTACTAATAAATTGTTTCAAGGCCGAAGAATAAGAAGACAACAAATGATATTGTTGCCAAATTTAAAATTCAAACCAACTGATTTATCCTCAAAATAAACGGAAGAATCAAATCTTCCATTAAATTAGGAGATTTTTAATACATAAATATAATTTTAAAAATAAAACACAGTTTCTAACAATAATCGCATGAGTAAAGGGAGGACACAAATGTGAAAGGNCGGACTTGTACTAATAAATTGTTTCAAGGCCGAAGAATAAGAAGACAACAAATGATACTGTTGCAAAATTTAAAATTTAAACCAACTGATTTATCCTCAAAATAAACAGGAGAATCAAATCTTCCATTAAATTATGAGATTTTTAATACATAAATATAATTTTAAAAATAAAACACAGTTTTCTAACAATAATCGCATGAGTAAAGGGAGGACACAAATGTCAAAGAAAAATCCAAAAATTTTAAATTATGTACTTGTACAACAATTAAGATCTAAAATTAAGGACTTCCTTAGTTTACATTTTTTTTTGTGTATTTTTTTACAATTAAACCTAATTTAGTATACTCCTTTCTAATTTACCGTTATTTTTACTATTCACTCGGGCCCGTATTAAAACAGTGGGCTTATATCTTATCAAAAAATGCTAATCAAACAAGACAATATGTGGACCTTACAATATTATTCTCTAATCCCAACAAACATGCCCTTATAATTGAGCATAACATATAGTGAAAATTATAATCCAATATAATATACCAATCTCTTTTGGCATTAAGGACAAACGCAAATCTTTTAAGTCATTAATGAGATATAATTGCAATATATATGGTATGTGGTCCACACTTGTCATTTTGTATATTTTTAATAACAAGAATACCCTTTTATTCATTAACTCGTTTATCTCTCTCTTCGATCCATTATTGTCTCTCTTAGCTACCTCTTTTGTCCCATTCTTTATCTCTCCTCTCTCCTATCTCCTATCTCCTATCTCTTCCTTTAATTGTTCTATCATCGATCTTTTGTCTTTCTCTCTTGTATATTTTATTCAAATTTCTTTATTTCGTCTTTCTTTTTCATCACATTCACTCTTTTTCCTCTCCCTTCTATTCCTCTCATTCTCTCTTCTATCTTACTTTTTTTACTCTTTATATCCTCTGCCTTTCTTTAATTCCCTTATCTCTCTCTCTCTCTCCATCTAACATAGAATACACTTGCAGAACAATGGTTTACAATATATTTGATGGGACATTTTCGAAATACTCCAAGATGAAGATACGTGTCTTCGGTGTCACTAATCCTTGTTATTGAGATCACGTACCCATCGGCTCACAAGTCCCTCTCCCCCGAGATACTTGTCATAGGGATCAAGTGGCATCCAGTACGTTTACGTACCGACACGTATCCCTCGGTCTGATATGGTACATCGGTCGCTATATGCACCTCCCCTCTTGGCTCCGAGATGTACCAACCCCCCTCGGTGCCGATATGTACTAACGTCCAGGATGACATTCTCTTCTCCTGCAGAGCTACTGATGTACAGGTCACTAGCCTAGGCTAGGCTAGGTTAGCTATCATGACCTCGTCTTACACAATTGGTGTCAGAAGGCATAGGAAGGCAGGGGCCACAACCAATGGAGAATGGACGCGTGGCATATTGTGTCACATCAGAGACAGAAAGACCGCATGCCCTTGTTGACACACGACTTGGGAAAGCAAACATTTAATTACATCATTCCTTTGATGAGACTGCATTCAATGCGGTAAGACTCGAAAGTGCAAGACAATAAATGTCTCTAAGGCTGGACATTTATTGCATCCTCCCCGAGAGGAGCTCATTGAACAGTCGGCAGTCCGATGACACAACATTGGTTGCTCGGGATCCCGAGCAGTTAAAAGAGAAGACATTCCTCGTAGTAATCAGTGCGCACGTTGCCTGTATCTAATGATCACCTACTGACCACACTGACAACAATCATGAGTATTTGAGGTATAAATACTCCTCGCAAAAGGCAAGGTGGTATGCAACGAAAAACCTTTGCTACAATACATATTCAGTGTTTTCTTCTTCCTCTCTCTCAAAAGTTGACTTGACCGTCGGAGGGGATACGCTGAAAAACACTCTGGCGCCCTTCTAACTTGTCTTTCTTTGTTCCAGGAATTTTTCTTAGTCTTACTGGATCGTTCCGTTGATCCACGAGGGTCTCCCATTACCGTTCCAGGTTATCACCGGACCTCGCAGGCTGTTCCAAGCAGCAGGGTTGACCATTCGACTGACTCACTCGAATTCACCAAGGGAGAGATCTGTTATCGTGTTTATATTGTGTAAGATCCAGCACGCACAATATTCTTTTCCATATTCGTGAGGCTTCTTCAAAACATTTTGTGTCTCAAATGCTCTCTATAAGCACCATAGGTAATGTTTATTTTCCTATTGTAGTGGTTGAGTTTTACTAAATATTCAATTCGTGTCTCAGTGTCATCTATTTCTCTCATCCCATTCTTTCTCTCTCCTCTCTCTTCATTCAATTCATCTTTCCTCTCTTCCATCCCATAGATTCGTTGTCCTCTATTTTGAGATGTAGATTTTTCTGAGGAAGTCGTATATACAATGGGCTTGTATGTCTTTTTGCTGTAGATTATCCTTAATGCCCCATAAATTCAGTAGATGTCTTTATTGGCCAAAAAAGTCCAGCTTGATGTACAACCACCAAAAAAACCTAACATATATGTATCATTCGACTATTTCTTTAGCCTATTTTTCATAAACCCAAAATTCACTATGAATTCCCAGAGGCCCAATTTTAAAATTTGATTGTAACACCTCAAACTCAACATAGTCTAATAAAACTATCATCTTGGAACCTTGACGATTTTTATATCATTTACTAACATAAAACCAATTCATTATACCAACAATAATAATTATAGTGTACCAAGAAAATAACATCTCTACATATGATCTGTTAAATATGATATTTTGATTTCCTGTCCTCAATATGATTTCTCCTTAACAACATGTTTTCACACTAAATT